GCCCAGGGCCATGCGACCGGCGGGAAGGAGGGGACGGATATATTGGGGTGTCCGAGACAAAGGCGGCAGGGAGAAAGCAGTTGACAGGCAAGATGAGGGAAACTGAGACAGCACGAGAGGGGGAGGCCGAGAGAAACCGAAAGATGGAGGCTGGCTGGAAGTGCTCCCGTGTGTGTGTGTGTGTGTGTGTGTGTGTGTGTGTGTGGAAGTGCTCCCGTGTGTGTGTGTGTGTGTGTGTGTGTGTGTGTGTAGTGTGTGTAGGGAGGACTCCCTGAAAGCCTAGGGAGAAAGGAAAGCTCTTCCAAACCTGCCTCCTTTCCTTCCCACAATTTCTGAGGGCACTGAGGCCCAGGGATGGGACTACTATCCGAGCATTGTGTGCGTGTGTGTGACAGGGGTGTGTCACGATGTGCTCCAAGGAAAGACTGTGTTTGTGTGTGTGAACCCGTGTGTACCGTGCGGGTGTATGTTTGGGGTGTTTGGTGTGTGTAGGACTGTGCCTGTGAATACTGGGGTGTTGGCAGGAAGAATGTGTGGTCAGGGTGTGATGGGGGTTAGGATATATTGGGGGGCTGAGGAGGCAGGTGAGGTCTGAGGATGTGTGCAGCTTTGGGGTTGAGCTGAGGGCTGAGCAAAGTGTATGTGACCAAATGTGTTTGGGTATCTTGGGGTGCGTGGCGGCCGGGGAAGCCAGGATGAGCCTGCAGAGGAGCATGTGTTGGGCCTGGAAGCAAGTATCCGCTTGTGTACTGGGGCCTGTCGGGGTGAGTTTTGACACGCTACCAGGTGGTTACACCACCTCTTCCTCATCCTCCGTCTCTGAGTCCTTCTAGAGGCTCTGGGACCTTCCCTGCCATGGCCACTAGAGAGAGGGTCTCCTGTGCTGCCTGAAGCCCCCGTACTAACATAGCCCCCAGCTCTGAGGTCTCTGGACAGGAGCCAGAGTTGAACTGGGGAGCAGGAGGGAACATCTTCTCCCCTCTCAGGGCACCCAGCGATCCCTTTTTGTTCCCCCCCTTGTCTTCCATATTAAGTATTCAAACCTCATTTACATCCTTATTTTTCAATTTGCTGCCACAGTAGTTTAATTTATTCGATATAATTTCTTTTTCTGAGGGGACATTAATCATTGCCCTGTGCTTTGGGGCGCCTGTGGGATCTCTGCGCGTGTATGTGTGTGTGCGCACGCATCTGCGTCCGTGTGTATCTGTGCCTGCGCACACTTGTGTCTGTGCGTGAGGTGCAAGTTTGTCTGTCATGTGGGGGTGTGTATGTGTGAGAGGGTCGGGGTGGGGCAGGAGGGGTGGGAGGGTGGCGCGAGTGTGCTAAATTGATCAGGTCCTCTTCCTCCTGGCCCTTCCTTAGGATGTCAACAAGAAGGGGAAATGGGGCATCCTCAAGGGGGGGGGGTCCTTCCAGTACCCCCCTGCCAGTTTTCCTTTTTCGAGTGTGTGCCCTGGACAGTTATAGCTGGAAATGTTCTAGAATCCCTGGTCTCTCAAGAAAGAGAGCCGAGACAGGTGGAGACACACGCAGATAGGGAGAGACAGACAGACAAGAACAAGGCAGGCCACAGCAGGGGAGGAAAGAGGGGGAAAGAAACATGGAGAATGATGGAGAGAGGCGCGGGAGAGAGGAGAAGTGAGCGAGCTGGAGGCGTCTCAGCCCATAAAGTCCCTGGAATGGGAGGAAGGGGTGCGAGACTCCCGCATCAGCTCAGGCCCAGTCATGGCTCAGTGCAGAGTGATGGGGGGCGAGGGTGGGGGAGGGCTGGTTGCTCCCAGGAGCTGAGATGAGTGAAGTGGCTTGGGGGAGGCTTGTTTGGAGAGAAGAGGCAAGAGGAAGGGGTCAGGGAGAGGAGGAGAGAAAACCCCTCTTGGCGATATAACTCAGAGGAATGAGACCAAGGAAAATTTCCAGGGATGTTCAAAGGGTAAGAGGGAGGAAGCTCTCTGATGCTAGCTCCCCTCCCCACCCTCAGTGCATCTGGGCAAATCCATGGCTTCCTGAGACCCTCTTTTGATCCTTAGCCCCAGAACCCCTCAGTTTTCCTTCTCTGGCACATTCTTGGAACTGCCAGGAACTGATGGGAAGGCCACTGTGACATCCCACTTAATCTTCATAACAACTCGAGCCAAGAGTCGGTCTTCCTGCTTCGGAGAGGAGGAAAGGAGATGTCAGAGCTTGCCCAAAGTCACGTGGAGGTCCAGAGCCCGGATTGAAGTCACATCTGCCTGAGGCCACATGCTGAGATCCCCCACTCCCCTTGGCTGCCTCCTAGGGTCGTGGCCACCCCAACCCTCCTGTCCTCACCACTACACAGGTTCAACACACACACACACACACACAAAACGAGACCTGGGACCCAAGGGTAAAGGAGGGAGGCCTTTGGGGGGCAGGAGTCAGCCTTCTCTGAGCCACCCCCAGCTGTGAGGACTTTGAGGCCCAGGACCTGAGTGCTCCCAGGGCTCATATAGACCCTGTCTTCCTTCTCATCCAGGGGTCGGAGGCCCGCTAAGGACCTCTTCTGGAAAGCAGAGGCCAAAACCCACTCAGGCTCAGACTGGCTGACAGCTTGGGGCCAGTTTCTGCTCCCAGGACCAGTTTCAAACTGCTATGACCTGCTCATTTTAGCCTTACCCAGATAGTGGTCCAAGGCTCAGGGCTTAGGGGGAGGAGCTTCTTTCTCTGAAATTCTGAAAATGAAATTTTGAAAACTGGTCTGAAATTGGACTTCATGGGACCTCAGTATTTGAGCCTCCAGATACCTGACTATCTTGAGGTCTACAGATCTAAATATGCTAATACCAGCTACCTGGGAGCTGAATGTCCCCAAGAGCCAAACATTTGAGCGCCCGAGGTAGAACACGTAGGGCTGATGATTGAGTGTCTAGGTTGGAGATCTGAGATGGAAAGGAGTCTGCACCATTCCAGCTCTTCAGCCCCACCCCTGTCTTCCTTCCCCACTCTCTCTCCCAGCCGAAGAATGGCCTCTCTCTTCGTTCCTGACCTTCTAGGAGCCTGGCGCAGGCATCACACCCAGGCCCCTGGCACAGACGTGTCACACAGAAACCATCACCCACTCGGATCAGTGATAACTGGGTGACGAGACAGGGGGTCCCTGGGCATGCGGGGCAGGGGCAAAGGGACAGGCCTGGGGCCGAGGAGAAGGTAGTGCATTCATTTGAATAATGGGCAAAATCAAATTAATTCTACATTAAATAGTTGTGAATAAAGGGTTGAAGTCAGCAGTTTCAAACTTGTTTTCCTTAATTACTTTCCGTGTTTAATGTCATTAAGAAGATTAAAAATTCATTAACAAGAGTACTAAAGTGGCAAATCAGGAAAGCGATCACTCCAGGTTAGAAACTCGGCTGAGGCCGCACAGCGAGCCTTCTGCAGGGGGCATGGGTGGGGGTGGGGGCTGAGAGGGTTGGGGACAGACACGCACTCACACACTTACACACTGGTACACAACAGCACCATAAACACACATCCATAATATCGGTGGGCATCCACACATCCACACACACACTCAGACGTTTTCCACTCATCCATACCCAGGACTTCCGTGATAGTGGGGAGACAGTGTATGGGGTCTGTAGCTAATCAGGCCCCATCTTCATAAACCCCTTTCCTGAAAAGGAGGATTAAAGATCAAACTTCGCTGACAGGCAATACATGGTCATAAAAATCAGTGTCAGCTCAGTGGTGTCCGGGTTCACTTTCTTGTCTCCTGCTCACGACTGTCCCCCGTCTCCCCTCCCTTCACCATCCCTCCCGCTCTAAAGGGCTCTCTCAGGGCAAACCCGATCAGTTTCCTGGGAGGAGCTGCTGACTTTGAACCTTAATTATCCTGGAAAGGGATCCCTTTTGTCTCCTGAGCTTGTTGGGGAGGGGGAGGAGTCCTGTTTCCTCCTGGGAGAAGGAGCAGGGAGACAAAGGGTAGGCTGGGTGGGGAAAGAAAAAGGCAGAAACAGCCCAGGGAGTGGGACCAAGTGTCCTGGTGTTCAGACCATCCCTGACTCAACCGCCCATCACCAACCTCACCGTCTCACCCTGCCTTTTCACCCATCTTGTTGGCTGACCTCCCCAGTGCCAGACATCCCCCCCTTGGCCGTGAAAGGACCCTCCCTGAGTCAGGACCATCTTCCCTGTAGCTATCACAGTCTCTCTGACTTCATTTCTACTTTTTTTTTCCTCTAGGGCCCAAACTCAGGACCAGGTCCCTAAAGGAGTCGAGGCTGCCTTGGGGACACCCGTGCCTGCCTGTGGCTGTGTCATGTGTCTGGTGGCTGTGTTGGTAATTGTGTGTGTGAGTGGGGGGGGGGGCGGGTTGCCTGAGGAGAGCACCATGTTCCTCATAAATGAATACAACTGGACGGGCCTGTGAGATCCTGATGGAATGAACTCCCTCTCATTTCACAGGCGGGAGAACCAAACTCTGGCAAGATGAAGTTCTACTCAAGAGAAATGAAAACATGGGCCCCCACAGAAACTTGCACAACAATGGTCACAGCGGTATTTTTCATAATGGCCAAAAAGTGGAAATAACCCAAATGTACATCAACTGGTGAATATATAGATAAAATGTAGTCTATCCATACAATGGGATATTATTTGGCCATGAAAAGTAATGAAGTACTGATTCATGTTACAACACGGTTGGATATTGAAGACTCTATGTTAAGTGAAAGAAGACAATCACAATAAACCATGCATTCTTTTTGTCCCTTTTTATGAAACGTCCAGAATCAGCAAATACACAGAAAAAGAAAAGAGATTAAGAGTTGCTTAGGGCTGGGGGCAGGGGGTATTTGGGGGAGAAGAGAGACTGCTAATGAGAATGGGGTTGGGGGTGGGTAGATGGTTCAGATGTTCTAAAATGTCTCATGGTGATGGTTGCACAACCCTGGAGATCTACTAAAAACCATTGACTTGTGGGGCGCCTGGGTATCTCAGTTGGTTAAGTGTCTTGACTCTTGATGTTGGCTCAGGTCATGATCTCAGGGTTGTGGGATCGAGCCCCGTGCTGAGTGTGGAGTCTGCTTAGGGTTCTCTCCCTCTCCCTCTGCCCCTCCATCCACCTCGCGCTGGCTCAGGCTCTCCGGAAAAACAAAACAAAACAAAAAATCATTGGCTTGTACACTTTAAATAGATGAATTGCCTGGTATGTAAATTATATCTTGATAAAGCTATTCTTTTCAAAAAGTGACGTGACTTACTGAGGGTCTCCCAGCAGGTGGGAGGTGGCCCTGGTACTAGCTTGTGGTCCCTTGACCCCAAGCTCAGTGCTCCTTCCACAGGCCCTACAAGGCCTCAGAAATCTTACTGTGGAGCCTTGAAGCCCAGATCCTACATGTGTGGGGGTGTCCACATAACATCTTGGCTTTTCTGTAGAGCCGTCATGTTTCTGTGTGTGACAGTGTGTCTTGTTATGTGTGTGCACATGAAGATTTGTGGTCTCACAGCTCTGTGTGTCTCTGCAAGTCCGACTCTGCACATCTGTCTCTGGGCCTATGGATCTCTCGATGGTGAGTGTTGTCTGTGCCCATGAACTTCTGCTCACTGGCTGGCTCCCTGTGTGTTTGCATTTGTAGGCATATCTGGTTGTGCCCAGGTCTCTGGATGTCAGTGCGTCTGTCTGGATCTGCGAGGCCTTGGGACCTCATGGGAGTCTGTGTTCAGGTGTTCTCGCGTGACAGTGTGTCTGCCGGTGTAATGTATCTGAGCGGGAACCCATGGATTTCTTAATGTGTCAGCTTATGAGTCTGGGTTCATATGCCTTCGCCCCTGGGTCCCTGCCTGGGATAGGTGTTGGTGCATCTCCGCACATGTCCGTCTATATGTTGGTATTCTGGTGTCCACACAGGTGCATCTGTGGGAGCCTGCATCTCTGTGGCAGGGGCCTGTGGGCCTGTCCATCTGAGTCTGTGTGTCTGAGCCCCTCCTGCAGGCACCAGGCGCCCCCACCCCCTGCCGGAAGGCGCCTGCCTCCCCACCCCCGCCTCTGACAGCCGTGGAGAGAGCTACACAGTAAATTCATGGCCGCCCGGCTGGGAAACAGGCGGCTGCAATGGAAAGGAAGCATGGATTTGCATATTGAATTAAAATTAAGAGCTAATTATGCAAATAAATTATGACATTTGGCAGGAGAATTTGCTTCAAGATCATTTATTACGTTCTTTTTATAACAGTGTGAGCATTTAACGGTCAAAGACAATATTTTAAGGGAAAATTAACGCAAGATTATTAACCTAAAAACAATTCCACATTAATGAGATGGTGAGCTGGTTCCCCCCACACACCTGGGCAGGTCTACGCCTAGACTAGGAAGGCCTTTTTCTTCTCTCCTTGCTTCTCTCAGTCTGCAGGGGCGCAGGTGGGAGGGGGGCAGGAAAGGGAGAGGGGGCCTAGGTTTGTGTCTTCTCGATGGGGAGGTCCTGCTGACCTGAAGCTCCCACCTAAGATCAGAGCCCTGGGCTGAGGTTAGGAGGCCACACAGAGGATGAGCTGAGCCCCACTCGCAAACAGGCCTAGTCCAATGAAAAGACATGATCCTGGCCTTGGGAAGCCCCCATTTGAAGGAGGAAGACGGAGCCCCACCCTGGAAATGGCTCTGTAGATACCACTTGGGATGGGACCTGGACCATAGAGTTTAAACAGTGTGGTTGTGCCCACAGCCACCATTCCCTCCTTCTCCCGGGCTGCAGAACTCTGGATTCCCCGGCGCGCTCCAGAGCTCCGAGCTCTAGCTACATCCTTCTGGGTCCCATGGTCTCCATTTTCCCTACAACCTTAATCTGTCAGCCTAGCTCTCCTTTCTGGGAAGTAGCAAGGGAAGGGGGGCTCTAATCTGAGTTTCCCTGGGATCCCCTAACACATTTTGTATCAAGTGGGGAGTCAGCCCCCAAAGAGTTGGTGGGTGATGTCCTGTTTGGGCCCCAATTTTCTCTTTCCCTGTGTGTCTGTGCGTGTGTGTGTGTGTGACATCTACTCTACCTGATCGCTGGGCTAGCTCCATGGTGTGCAGACTCTTAAGACAGATCTTTATCTGTAGTGTGGGCCCATGGAAGGGAACCCAGGGTCTTCCCATGGGCTACTCTGCCAGGTGAACGCCTTGGGTTTCCAGAAGGCCCCTGCTCTGATGCAAACATGCTCCCTGGGAGGCGAGATGCCGTTCCCTGTCATTGCTTGAGGCCAGTATTTGGTTCGTCCTAGAGTGGCCAGAGGGAGGGACAGCCATTCCTCACGCCAGGTTATACCTGCAGGCCCAGCCATTTCATTTGGGTTATGTAAAACTTCCTGTGAGACAGGGCCAGGTACCGCGGGGGCAGAGCAGGGTGGCAGGAAAGACTGTGGCTTTGGACTTAGGAGACCTGAGGTCCTCTCCTCTGCCGCTTACGGGCAAGTGCCCTCTCCCGCCCGCACGCTGCGCGTCCACCCCTCTCCACCATGTTGTGTACGTGGAGCCTCAGCTGGCTCCTGGGGTTTGACCAAAGGGGGTCGCCAGCGAGAGATAAGAGGGAGTGGAGTCCTGGGTTCCTTTTCTTCCTAGCCGCTGCTGCCAGGGGCTGCCTCCCCAGCTCTCCCTCCTTGTTCTGGTCACTCTTCTGCATCCATCTTTGCCCCTTTGACACCTGGGTTGGTCGTGGCTTCCCGCTGTTACTGGCCCCGGGATACTCCACTATTACCTGTACGTTTTCTGATCCTTGCCCATACCTTTGTTTTTGTTTTTGTTTTTTTTTTTTTT